TTTATTTTGATTATTATTATTATAATTAAAAAAAAAAAAGATTTTCAAAAGGCAGCAAAATATCACGTTAACTCGTTCGCCACACATATGAATTGATCGACAAAGGAGTTCCAATTTTTCTAGATTCGATTTCCAAATTTGGTAATAATCCTGACTGCAATCAATTTGGAGTCAGTTCTTAAATAGGATAAAATAGAAACCTGTTTGTAAAACTAAACTTGCAAACTTATTTTTTCATTTCGTTGAACAATCCACAAATAACAACTATATATAGTATGAAAGTTTTCTTTATTTTTCCTTTTTTTTTTTTAAAAAAAAATAAAATTATAAAAATAAAATATTAATTTATAAAAATTTATAATTATAAAAAAATGGCTAGTCGGCAACAACAAAGTCAAGAAGATGATAATCAACAATTTCAATTAATTCCTGATCCCAACCAAGTTCTTCAACCAATTCATAATTACGATCAACAACAACATAGTCTACAACAATTCCAACCAACTAATCACGAGGCAACTTTTATTGGGCAGCATAATCCAAATGACAGCAACAATAATAATTTATTACAACAGCAAACACTTTATGTTACACAATATCCAACCACATCTTCGGCTACAATTTATAATGGTGATCACTTTAATTCATCTAACTTTATTAATAACAATAATAACGATAATGATCCTTTAAGTTTAAGAATTTCTCGCCGAATGATGATGATTAAAGATTGTATCATGGAGATGCAACAACAATATATTTTACTGGAACAAGATTTCGTCAAGTTAAGACGCGGCGGGTAAAAATTTTTCATTATTTATTTATAATTTTTCTTTAGTATTAAAGAAAAATAAACGAAAAGCAATTTGTAAGGAAGGGCAAATAAAGAATTTATTATTATTATTAAATGAAAAAGTTTCCATTGAATATTATATATACAAAATGAGAAAAAAAGAACAAAAAACCAAAAATTTAAAACTTTCTCTGTTATTTTTTCACTCTGAATCTCAGTATATCCACCATTCTCTTTTTCTCTCACAAAAAAAAATCAATTAATTGACAACTGAGTAGCTGATAAGAAAATATCTACTTTAGATTGATCACCAGAAGTTACGATATGATGATAATTCCTTAATAAATTATCTACATCTTCCATACTTTGAGGTCTAATATCGGCCAATTCCTTAATTTTAGTTGTAACCTTTTTAACTTGTTCATCTGTTAAGGTTAAATCCAATTGTTCAACACGATTCTTAACTGCATTCCAACCGGTTAACCGATGTCCAATTGATACATATCTAGTCATACTATATATAATAATAATTCATTTTTTTAGAAAAAATAATAAATATATATAAACATATTTATTTAATAATAAATTGCATGACTTTATAATAACGTACCCAAAATCTTCAGGTTTCAAAATCTCATAAGTACTTGGATTATTTAATATAGCTTTAGCATGTATACCAGCTTTATGAGTAAAAGCACAATAACCAGTAATGTAATTGTTAAATGGAACCTCCACACCGACCGAATCTGCTACCAAATTTTCTAAATCTCTTAACATGTGTAATTTATATTTGGATTTAATATAATCTTTATTTGCTGTATACATTCTTGCAATCAAACCTCCAAGTGGTGTGATACCATTACGTTCTCCAATACCTAAAATTGATGTATCAATATGTGTCGCTCCTGCTTCAAGTGCTATTAATTTTATTTATTTTGGAGGAGGTGAAAAGTAAAAATCGGTTAATCAATAATTATTCTTAATAATAATTGTTATTAATATTATCATGACTATTACTATAACGACAACTAACTACAACAACAACGACGATGATCTTTTAATTACCAGCATAAGCATTAGCAATAGCACATCCAGTATCGTTATGAAAGTGGCATTCAATATCACAAGAAACAACACCTCTAAGGGTTCTGACTAATTCATAAACTTGTCTTGGATTTGCACATCCGACTGTATCAGCTATGCCAACTCTGTTAACACCCAATTTATCCACTGTCCGATAAATACTCAATAAATCCACTAGATCGCTACGAAATGAATCTTCTGATGAAAATCGAACTTCAATTCCTTTGGATTTAACAAATTGTATCACTTCAGTTGCCTTCTCTGTAATATAATCCATATCTTTGCCGTGACTAAATTCCCTTAAATATGACGAAGTACCAATCACTACATCAACTCCATCAACACCTTATAAAAAAATTATTATAATTATAATTATAATTACATATATATATATACATACATACAAATATAAATGATTCATATTAAATTGTTTATTCATATTTACCTGTTTCAACAGCAATTTTAGCATCATCCATATGACACCGTATATGAGTCAATATTTTTGCTTTCAATCCTAACTTACAAATTGCTTGGCAATCTTGCCTTGATTGTTCAGATGCAGCCGGTGATGTCAATTCAATATATTCTACTCCAAATGTATCTAACGCTTTAGCAATTTCTATTTTTTTCTTTGTATCAAAAAATGCATTCGCAAATTGCTCGCCCTCTAAATTTTTTTCGTAAAAATTAATTTAAAGCTTAAAACAACCCCTAATAATGATAATAAAATACTAATCATATATTTATTTACCTCTAAGAGTTGATTCGATAATAGCAAAGTTATGAACTCTGCTTAATAAATCAGCATATCTTGGTGTGTACGGGTTGTTGACTATTGCTGAAGAATTACTGTTGTTGTGGTGGTTATTGTTGTGGCTATTACCATTATTATTTGTATGTAGAGTTTTATTTTTATTGCTATGACCGTTTGTTGTTGCCATTTTACTCAATTTTTGGTGTTTTTTTATTATTATTTTTTGTTATTATTTTTTGTTATTATTTATTATTATTATATTATTTGTTGTTTTTTAATTTTCGTGAGAAATTTCGTAAAAAAGAAAAAACACTTCTTTAAGTAGCAAGGATTCTTGTTCTATAGATGAAAAAAAATCAAGATTATCATTTGATTAAACCCCTCTAATGTTGATTTAAATATTGATAATAATAATAATGATCATTGTGTCACGACAAAAATAGGCTGTGTTAATTGTGTAAATTTAAATAAAAATTGATATTAATATAAAATGTGTCAAGTTAAGTCAGAATATTTTTGTGTCCATTAATTAAAAAAACCACAATCAAGTCATAGTAGTAATTACTATGATGAATAGCGTGAATCAATTGATTTTATTTGGATATTGAGGCTAAGTTGAGGCTGAGTTGAGGTTGAGTCATTTAAAGCAATGTTTGATCAAAATATCCAAAGTTGGCAAGTCTTCAAGAGCATTTTTTTAATGTAACATTACCTAAAAATATATTATTATGTTTATTATTATGAAGAAATAAAATTAGAATAATGCAGTTTTTAATTTTGGCTAATATAATAATTTCAAACAGCGATTTAATCCATACCAAGACAGTGTGTAAATCTTGTGGAAACATGGAAAACGCGTAAAGGAACAAACATGATAAATATTTAGGGATGTTAACAGTCCATGTCCAAACTGAATGGAGTCGGTCTGGTCTTAGGTATCAAAGACCGTTGAAATTTTTTTATCATAAAAGCATTAATTTCTATTTGTTAAAATATTATTTATTATCATAAATTCCAAATTATTAGTATATTCGAAAAAAAAAAGTTTTATATAATTCAAAATTCCATTCCTTGTCTCTATGAATGCCCATTCCTTCTAAAATCCAGGTAATACAAATTCTTCGAAATATTCGTTTATTCGAATCATTTGTTTTATTCGAATTACTTGATTACTTGATTTACTCGTTTTATTTTTTATTTTTATTTTATCTGTTTTTCCGAATTGCTTGATCTATTCGAATTACTTGATTTATTAGTTTTATTCGAGTCATCTGTTTTATTCGAGTCATTTGTTTATTCGTTTATTTGTTTCATTCGAATCATTTGTTTTATTCAAATTACTTGATTTATTCGTTTGTTTGTTTAGAAACTCTAAGTCTGGACCACGGTCCGGTCCTTTGATTAGATTGACGGTCTTTGGACCCTATAATAATAATAAATATTGTCCAAAGTCCTGTTCCCTGTTCCTTGCTACTAATTCTTATTGGCTGATTATAAGGAATACTAGAAATGATTTCCAAAAAATTTTACTGAATAAGGTTAAAAAATGAAATTGAGAAAAATTTGGTTCAAAATAAAAAGTAACTTCTACTAAAATGGCAGTTTCTTCTAATAATGATGACGAGTAACAACAAACCGTTTATCCGATCGATTCAAAGGCAGATTCTTCTGCTAATAAATCACATTCATCATAATTTAATAGCGGGGTTTTACTATGTAAATCATAATTCAGTACAAAAATATATACAAAAATAGAGTTTTGGGAACCAGGGGATTTTTTACCTAATAAGTATTGTACAACATGGAACAGGAGGAGGAATTGAACACCCCTCATTTGTGTGTAACCTATGTAAATTTTATTTTCATATAATTGAAAAGTTAAAAAAATGGCATCGCCTGCAACTGGTAACAATAGTAGTACTAATACTTTTACAACCACATCTGCTACAACCGTTGCAGATGCAACAATACAACAGTTAGAACCTCCACCGAAAAAACTTGATAAAGGAAAAGAGAAAATGACTACATTCCAACCTGACTACTCCACAAACAATCCTTTTTTAAAAAAATTGGAAGGTAAGCTCTATAAATATTTTTTTTATAAATATATTAAATATATATATATATATATTTATAAAGTAATATTAATGTTTTTAATTTTATTCAAGATCATAATATGGATGCTACTAATATTGATACATCAAAATTAATTTCTCAATTTCAATCATCCAGTTCTTCATCATCTTTAACTTTTGAGGATGAATATGTTGAATCAGTTTTACCCAATAATAGTAAAAGTATTTATATTCATACATAAATTTATATTAAAGCTGATGGTAAATGTTAATTATATTTGTTCAAATTAAATTTAGAACGTAAAAGAGACAATAAAAGTATCATGGATATGTCAGATTCCAATAATCAAGAGGTAAATTTTATTATTATTGATTTTGTTTTAGTAAAAATAGATAGGACCTTGGATAGTTATAATTGAATTGGTATGGTGAAAATTGGTAGAAATTTTATTCCAAAAGGAAATTTCTTACCAAGATTTTCTGAGTAGAGTTGATAATTTTTATATATATTCTCTCTGGATACCAGTTTAATTATAATTATTTCAAAATATCAAAAGCCAAATTAATCCTAATGCACATACATATATTTAAATCTACATATAGCTTCAATATGAAAGCTTTAAATTTAGATTTGACACAGCAATTACATTGTTAAAGAGTAAATATATGGGTGAATGTCTCATTCATCAAGAAGGATGCGTTATATTAGATAATGAAAAACATTTTGTTTTGAATAATGTTTTATATCGTCACTGGGCCAGTTTGGTGGTATGTAGAATATTAAATTTTTATTTATTCCTTTGTTCCATTATCATTGTTATTATTATTAGAGTTTGATTAATTGAATTTGTTTTAGGCATCAGGAGATGATTACAATATTGATTCATTGCCAGTTGCACCAGAATTAGATGAGTTTGATGAATCTCATGCAGTTTCAATTTAAATTCAATCATCATCACAATACCAAGGTTATTATTTGATATTGTAAGCTGAAGTACATGTTGAATTGCTGGAGATGTAACTTGAGTGAACAAAACATTATCACTTTATTTTTAATTTTGGTAAAATATATATAATATAATTAGATTGTGTTATGATAACTGTAAATAAGTAAAATAATAATAAATATATATACATAACAATACCAATTGTGAAAAAAATTGTACATAATGACCAACAGTTGAAGAAGTCTATGTTCAGCTGCAAAATATTATAAACACCATTCAGGTATACATTCTATACAAGTCATCCCACCAAGTAAATTGATTGAGCAAGCCAATTCCTCAAAATAAATTGGATTGACAACTCATGTCTATGGATAATCAAAAGAAAAAAAAATTAATGAAATAATTTAATTGAATATGACTTTAAACAGTGATGCTTCAGAAATACATTTAGTACTGTTGGTATTGATCGTGGATAGTTTTAGAGATTAAAGTGATGGTTGGTGATATTGGAGCAACTTTGTTATTAAAGATGATGATGGGTGGATCAATATATATATCAAAACAATAAACAAATATTTATATCTTTAATCAATTAATTGACTGCTTAAAATATATCAAAAATATTGAAGTGTAAAATATGGTGAAAGCAAAAGCTCCAAATAGTTTGAGTTAATAATATTAAACTAAAAAGATCCTTTTTAAACAATTATTGTTTTTGCCTAGTTTTAATAATAATAATTATATTAATATGCAATGTCCGTTGACTAATAAATTAAAAAGTTTAAGGCGTTTAAATCACGTGCCAATTGTGTTACCCAGATCATATGAACAGCCAATAGGAAGATCCACATAAAAATTTCATATGAATTTCCCTACCCTTAAGGATTAATTAATGTGGTTTTGTATATATGACGACGTCGTTATGCTATATAAGCTCTTTGCTCAACGACTGTTATTTGGTTTTAATTTCTTTGAACGGTGTCATTCGCCACATCTCGGTCATATATTTCCATTACTCAAGTACTGAAGAAACTTCTGCAAGCTACACTTGGTGCATCTGGTCATGCTTTGGTGGATGTTGACATCTTTCACGATGGTACTTGTGTATTTGTCTCAAATGTTTTGCAGTTTCTCCTCTTTTTCTTGCTATTTCGAAATTGTCTCTTTTCTCTTTGCTTTTTTATAACTTCATAATAGGCAGGCATTATTCTCTGGTAGATGTAACTATTCACGATCTGTGTAACTCCAATACCATCTTGTGAATTTTCAACGTATAAATTTATAATATATGAAGAGGTGTTGCAATATCATGTAGATAGAGCAAGTATGGAAAGTCAAATTGTTGTGTGAAATGAAATTATGCAAATACATTTTCACAACTATCATTCACTTTGAGATTTAAAATTTTATCAAACAACAGCCAGAACAATTTGTAATAACAATAATAACAACAAAGCGGTCTTTACCACAAGAAATAAACAAAGACCATTCAATTACACCATTACAAAAATTGTTAGCTGCTTATAGTGGACTTTGTTAACTTCGCCTTTTGGTAAGTGAAAAAGAACATAAACGACATGACTAATTATGATGATATTAATTATATATTTCACTTATACTATTATAGAAACACCATTTGATGTAATAAAGACTAGATCACAATCACAAAATGTTTCCAATAATAATACATTTTCAGATATCAAACCATTAGCATCAACATCATATTCATCAACATCATTGGCATTGCCATCATGTTGTCATCAAAGTTTATTTTTCATCAAGAAGCTTAAAACTTTTTTTGTCAATTGGAACCAAATTATCATCTAGTATAGTTTCAGATGCAACAGCAACTCTACCACCTTCTACTCAGAAAGTGGTAACAAAACATTACTAACTTGATGGAGTAGTGATGAAATTTTTTTCGCATTTTCCTTGAAAGATGAGAACCTAATTATTAAATTAATTAAGTTTTGGATATAGGATAGTATTGTTAAAATTGCTTGTTATAAGGGGATTATGGTGAGGTCTATCACCATCACTGTTAGTTTGAATGAATGATTTTATATGATCATGTATTGCATGACTTTATATTATTTATATATATATATGCACATTTTAGAGCAATGTCTGTACCAGTAACAATGATATAATTTATAGGTTATGATCATACAATAGACAAGTTATGGGCAAATTGGAAAGGAAAATATTCCGAAGTTTATTCACCATTAATTGCAGGAGCTACACCAAAAAGTAAAATTTTTACATGATAAATGTTAAGATTCCAATCTTTATCTTTATTATCATGTGTGTGTATAGCTACTTCTGCATCAATAATATCACAATTAGAACCGTTTCGAATCAAATCCCAAGGATCTGAAAGTATAAACGGTTTGAGAGGAGTATTGAATGGTGTACAAACAATGATTTTCAACAATGGTATTTCATCATTATGGTGTGTGGTCTGAAATCTAGATGTACCATTTTTTGGTATTTTTTTTTGAAAAGAATTATTGCACTATATATAAATTTTATAAATATTTATCTATGTTAGCAATTTATTGGGCTGGCTATGAATTTGTGAATGGTACATAAAAAATTATCTACATGAAAATAATCATGACGAAAAAGTCAACAATGTTGAAGTTAGATTTTTGAGTGGTGATATTTCTGGTGATGTAGGTAAAAAACATACATTCAATTTTGAGAAAGAGATATAAATATATATGCTAACAATTTGTGTTATATATATTAAATTAGTTTTCAGCATTGATTGCTACGCCTTTTGATGTATCTAAAACTATGCGACAAGTTTCAATAATTCAATGTAGTAGGTTTGAGCGATGATTCTTTAGTGTAACTAATTACAATCATTGTTAATTAATAAAGTAATAATAATATATTAAATGTCGTGAAGATGGTTATTCAAGATGGAGTATATAAATAATTATTTAAAGGTGGATATTTTCTACTTGTGATTGATTGATTTGAATGATTTTATATTGAATATAGTTAGGTAGCACGCTTCGAATTATGTATCACACAGAGACTGAAAATAATAATAATATAGAAACAACAAAATCTAACAATGAGTTATTATTAGAATCTGAATGGCGAATGGATCAGGAAAGATCGACATTATATATACTCGTATTCCAATATGACATTTTGGACGAACTTTTTGTTATTATTATATTTGATCAGATTTGTTTTTCCTTAAGAAAAAGAAGTCAATGATTTATTTTTATTAGAAGAAGTAGGGGATGTTAATCGATTGTGCAAAATTATATTAATAATAAATAAATAATATAATACCAGATATTATAAAGAATTTTTTCCTCGATTCAATGTTTTTATCATTAATTTCTTTGTAGAACAAACATATATGTGTGAACTGTATATATTGTCAGATGTTATGTATTTTTAGATGGAAAAATTAGACTGACCATCAATTACACAATCTTCCTCCAAGAACAATCGTTAATATTAACATCTGGCGATCGACAAAATGTTTACGCGTATTACCGGAATAATTTTTTCAATAATAATTACCAAATCAATCATATATCAGTTGTAATTATTATTAAAAAACTTTAATCGGACTTTAAATTCACATGCACGAAGTCGTCTGATTAATTATTTTGAATATAAATTGCTAAAACAATCGAATACAAGTTGATTTTATTTTTATTACGCTAATTAAAAATAAAATAACGTTTCCTTCTCTTTAAAGAAATCTATATGTCAAAAATTTTTTTCCTATTTTTTTCATTTAAAACATAAAAAGGACACTATAAACATTCCTTCTAATGTAAATATCATTTATCAATTAATCGCTGAAATGATATAAAATAGCGAAGAAAAAGAGATATCCAATATATATTTTATGAATCAATTAAAATTACCACATGGATATGAAATATTTTTAATCCATAAAATATCCAACATCCTGTCCAAAATTGCTAAAGGCCCTATCCCTCCCTACAAAAATTTTAGATGCTTAATTTCTGGTTAATTTCTACAAAACGTGTTTAAATGATTCCCTATAATTTAACACTAAATCAATGTTAATATATAATTTACACGTTTTTGTTTTTTAATCCATAAAATATCCAACATCCTGTCCAAAATTGCTAAAGGCCCTATCCCTCCCTACAAAAATTTTAGATATTTAATTTCTGCTTAATTTCTACAAAACGTGTTTAAATTATTCCCTATAATTTAACACTAAATCAATGTTAATATATAATTTACACGTTTTTGTTTTTGAAAAAAATTAAAATACCAAGTAGATTTAAATACGCTTTCTGAAGAAAATAATCTTTGAAGAGATGGGTGTTGTTTTCGTGGACACAGCAGAAACTTAAAATTTTACATGCAAATTCTTGAGAACCTAAGCTATGAAATAACTTTCATTATGTGCAATTATTGACTGAAGCTTTTGTCTAGGGAGTGTTAACACACCATTTATGTTGATATATATATTTGTTTGCTATTGCCATAATTTTAATCCACTTTACAGCCAACCCAATCCTTTGCCCATCCCTGCTTCCAATATCAAGAAAGCAAATTTTAAAGAAATAGCCTAATTGTGCAATCGAAATGATATAATTAAATCTGATATGATTAACGATGCCATAAGTAATCTCAAAAAAGAAAAAGAAATCTGATACAAAGTAGTGGAAATTTTACAACAAAATCTGATTCTGAAACAATAGATGCAATCAAGGCTTGGGTTGAGCTTAAAAACTAAAGAAAAATCATATTTAGCAATAATGATAATGATAATGATAACGATAATGACAACGAAATTATCATTAATAACGATAGTTTTTTACCACATTGAGCCAAAGGATAGAGTAATCATCAAGCCTTAAATCTGACCATTATTAGTTGCCCTAAATTTTCGAGTTTTTGCCTCCCATGCAACTCGACGTTTATTATTATCTTCTTAAATATTTACATGATGACCCTGAATTATAATGCATGGAATGTTATGGTACGACAACCTTAAAATGATTATCTTATGCTCGAGATTCAAAGAGACCAGATCCCCATTTTACTTTCTCAAATGTTTCGTCAAGAACAAATTTATTAATCCGGTCAAGAATAATTCCAATTGCCAAATTTACCAAAAGAGCCTCCAGTAGAGGACAGTGGATGCAACAAGATATGCTAAGATTCGCCCGGTGTTAACGTTTATGGGCTGCAATTTGCCTTTTCAGGTTGTCTTGAGGATACCGGTGAAAATTTATATGCAAGATTTCCTTGAAGGTCAAGAGTCTTCTGAGTACAAGTTTCAACGAAAAGGTAACGGTGACATATTCGTTGTCGATATGCCCAAACACGAGCATAAATTTGTTATTACGCTGTTGATTGATTACTTCAAGATTCCCAACGGCGATATGTTTTATGATTCTCCAATAGATGTAGTAGGCAACCATGCAAGAAAGTTTTCTTGATCCTTTGCATATAATCGATTTTTTTAAAATTCACATACTTCCTTCTTTTGGTTCATTTTAACCTATCTGGAGTTAGATAATTAATTGCACTAAATGTTGCTATTTACCCAAATATAATCCATGTTCGAAAACCTAACGTTCAACATCCTGGAACTAGTGACGCAAATGTGCTTTGAATTATATGCATTAACATATTTGTTTTGACTGTGATTTTCTAATATTAATATATTCATATTAGGGTATCCACATGCTCGAGAAATACGTGAAGTGAGTAATTGTCAATCAACCCAAGAAGTGCCAACTTTGGATGCAAGAAAAGACCGGAAGGGATAACCAAGGTTGATATCACAGGTCCAGATTGTGGCATAAAGGGGTAATCAGATACCAAATGGTAAAATTTTGATCTGTAACTAAATGATGCGGTCATTTGCAAACCAATCATATTGTTTAATTAAAAAATTCAAATTTTATTCAAATTTAGCTATTATCATACAAATGAATTTACAAAATCAGTTGACTATCTAAATTATCTAAACTATCATTAAATACTATGCAGACTCCATTTGACAAGTGGGTCATTAGCGGAATGTACGGTGATATAAATCCCAAAGGATCAGAAATATCTTCATTATCATCAATCATACCCATTCAATTCTACTCAATCCTCAATTCTGTTAATATAATCATCAACCTCTTCGTCAAAGACATCTGGAACATCCTTTCCTTTTTCAAAAGAAGCCAATGTTTCACGGTTATTACTTCATTGGTATCAAGCAGCTCGTTATCATTATTATTATCAACAGATTCTTTTGAAAAGGAATTGCAATATGATTTCTTTTATAAAGTTTTTCGCATTTTTAAATCTCCGACTGTTTTTTCTTTCGAAATATTTCAAAAACTTTTTTATGTTTTTAATAAATAGATTTTTATTTTTTTATTAATTAATCATTTTATAATAAAATTTTAAATTGAAAAACAAGTTTAACATACATAAAGACAATTCTATTTTTTTTTTTTTTTTTTTTGAATATAGAGGCAGAATTTACACAATTCAATGCAAATGAAGAGCCAATCTCGACAAATCAGGCACCTCACCTTTTGCTAAATCTCAAAAGCCAACTGCCTCACAATCAAATTGACTAAATGTTTTTCATATCAAAAGGATAAGCTTTCTTTTGATATAATAAATATTTACCAAACTAAACCTGATAAAAATAGTCAAGTTACTATATATGTTATCTTAGACCTGCCGATCATATATGTACAGTCGAACTCTCGTTTCAACGGATTTTTGTTTTTGTCCCTTGATTTTATTAATTGTAATATTAATTAAAAAATTCTCGTTTCAACGGATTTTATATTTAAATCGCGTTTCAACAGACAACGGATTTTTTAGTAATCGGATTCACGTGATATAAATTTTATAAAAAAAAACACACATTACTATGTTAAGATTAATTCAAAATCCCTTCTTTGCTAAACAAATTGAATAATTCTCAAAAATATCAATATGATTTTACATGAATAATTCTCACATTACTAAATAATAATATTAATCAAAATTTTCCATAATAATTTTACACAAATAATTAAAACACACATTACTATTAATCAAAATTTTCCATATTTCTAAATTGATAATAAATAAATATCTTCTAATAATTTACGAATAATTTCAAATATATATAATTTATTTCATAATTATTTTTGGATACTCGTAATTATTTTTGGATGCTTGTAATTATTTTGAATATTCATATTTGATACAATTCACAAATAGGACTAACTTATTTGTAACTTATCCTACTACTACTATATAATATTAAAGAAATGGAATTTGCAGAAAAAAATTTCTTAATACTTTAGGAACTGCCTATTGTATAAATCATTTAAAATGCCATTCTTATATCTGATAAAAAAAATGATGGTATTTTTTTTTGATATAACTTGAAATGAACAATCAAATTGACAATGTCCAAAAAGAAACTTTATCAATTAAATAAACGAGAAAATTAACAATAGCTTGTTAGAATTTATACAAATGTCTGAAATAATGAGTATCCAAAAATAATTACGAGTGTCCAAAATAATTACAAGTATTTGAATAAATATTTGAAATTCGTAATTTTGGATTTAACACACGATTTTATTGTATAAATTTCTTCTTTTGTGTTGGAAAAAAAGACAAATTCAATCGTGATCATTAATATTTTGTATTTAAATATGGTGTTTATAAATAAATAACATGTATTTTAAAATGTAAAGTGGCAAATTATTATAAAAAACAATGATGATAATTTAATTAACCAATTAATACTTTAATATGGCGTATTATTTACAGATTTTTAGATCTGTTATGACTACTATTTCTCATACAAGTTCAAAATTAAATTATTAACAAAGAATTTCTAATTGCTGGTAGATTAGGTCATCTTTGACAATGTTTCATATGTTGAAATCATAAGTGCACAACTAACTGCAATTTTTGTTATCCGAAGTGTGCCACCTAATTATATTCAATATAATAATTATTAAACCATTCAACATTAACCAATCACGACCAAGTATAATGTATTAAAAAATATGCACCTCTAAATAATTCTTTATATCCTCCGTCTTGAATAATCATCTTCATGACATTTAACATGCTGTTATTACTTCCCACTTATATATAATTAAAAATGATTTTAATTAGCTATACGCTAAAGAGTCATCATTCAAAAGATTTTAATTAGCTACACGCTAAAGAGTCATTATTCAAAAGATTTAAAAAACCTACATTGATTTAGTGAAACTTGTCGCCTAGTTTTAGCTACATCAAAAGGTGTAGTAACCAATGCTGCAAACTAATTTAATATATATACATGGTAAGCATATATATATCAATGATATATTTATATCTCTTTCTCAGAATTGAATATATGTTTTTACTTACACCACCAGAAGTAGCACCACTCAAAAATGTAATTTCAACGTTATTGACTTTTTCATCAAGGTTATTTTCATGTAAATAATTTTTTATACTTTTTTTAATGAATTCATAACTAGCCCAATAAATTGCTAAAATAAATAAATATTTATAAATTTATATAATTTATGGTGCAATTATTATTTTCAAAAAATTTTTTTACCTGAAAATGGTACATCTCTCCATAATGTAGGTTCCAGACCACGCCATAATGATGAAATACCATTATTGGCAACCATTGTTTGTACACCATTCAATACTCCTCTCAAACCATTTATACCTTCAGGTCCTTGCAATCTAGTTCGAAACAATTCTAATGGAGATATTATTGAAACAGCAATAGCTATATATACAAATGATAATAATGAGATTGTTAATGGATAAATATTAGAACCTTTACAAAAAAAATTTTTTATCATGCAAAAAATTTACTTCTTGCTGTAGCTCCTGCAATTAATGGTGAATAAGTTTCAGAATATTTTCCTTTCCAATTTGCCCATAACTTGTCTCTTAAATGATCATAACCTATAAAGTATATCATTGTTACTGGTACAGACATTACTCTAATGTGTATATATATATATATATATATATATATAAATAAATAAATAATCAAATAAATAAAATGCCACGCAATACATAATCATATAAAATTATTCATTTAAACTAACAATGATGGTGATAGACCTCGCCATAAAGATGTAATCCCTTCATAACGAACAATTTTAACAATACCATCCTATATCCAAAAATTAATTAATTTAATAATTAGATTCTCTTGATTTTTTATCTTTCAAGGAAAATGTGAAATAAATTTTACCGCTATTCCATTAAGTTGGCGATATTTTGTTACTACTTCTCTCTGAGCAGAAGATGGTAGAGTTGCTGTTGCATTTGAAACTATACAACATAGATTGGATGATAAATTTGGTTCTAATTGACAAAAAAATTTTTGTTTTAAATTTCTTGCTGAAAAAAATAAACTTTGCTGACAACGTGATGGCAATGGCGATGATATTGATGAATATGATGTTGATGCTAATGGTTTGATATTTGAAAATAAGAAAGTATTATTATTGGAAATACTTTGTGATTGTAATCTGGTCTTTACTACATCAAATGGTGTTGCTATAATAGTATAAGTGAAATATATAATTAATATTATCATAATTAGTCATTTCATTTATGTAGTGTTGACAGTTCTTTTTCACTTACTAACAAGTGAAGTTAATAAAGCCCCACTACAAGCAGCAAACATTTTTTGTAAAGGTGTAATTGAATGGTCTTTGTTTATTTCTTGTGGTAAAGACAGCTTTGTTGTTATTATAGTTGTTTGTTCTGGCTGTTGTTGTGCATGAATGAGACTGAAGCCTGGGTCAATAATTTCTGAACAGTCCATAGCTGTATCCAATGTAGTATCCATTATTATTATTAAAAATTTTTCGTCAAATATTTAAAAAAAAAAAAAATCTTTTTTCGCGATTAATAATCCGCCAGGAAAGGACTCAATTGATGCCGATCTGGAAAATTTCATAGTAATAAATATTAGTATTAGTAATAATGATAATAACAGTCGATTTTTCCCCCATAGAAAATTTTATATCAGACTATGTAAATCAAAAGTAAAAATATGAAGCAGTTAAATCTGTTGGTTTTCTGCTATATAACGAGCGGTCATACATTTAAAATATATAAAATAATTAGAATGTGTCCCAAAAGAATATCTTCATTAATAATATTATTAAATGTAAGAAGCCTACAAATTAATTTCTTTAATAACCACAATGTTTAGCTACTGACTTTATTATTTTTACTGTATTCATTTATATTCAGAATAAACTAACAATAATTATAATAATAATAAATAGAGGGAAATTTATTTATAAATACTTAATGACAAAGTAGTTAAAATACATAGTATTGGAAGCTGTATAACCCATTAATAAAACATTTTTCAATGAAAGATATGCATGGTTTTAGCCAATAATATTTTGATTTTATTTTTAAATTAAAAAAGTCAGAAACTCGGGGTTTTATTTAGTAAATTTTAAAGTACCGAATTAATTAATCAAATAAAAAAAATCTGATAAAAAAAAATCTGATAAAAAAAATTGATAAATTAAATCTGATAAATTAAATCTGATAAGATCAAGGGCAAGTGATCAGCAAAATTTGGGTTATCAAACATTGAAATTTAATGCAAATTTCAAAAAGAATGTTGTGTAGCCAAACATAAATATATATATAGTTTATCTATGAATTTTTTTATTTAAAATATTTAAAATATTTATTTTTTTTTTAATAATAAATCAAATTGTGGCGAGTTCGGCAATTTCCTTTTATATTTGATTTGTTGAGGTGGCGTAAAAGAATCAGGACAGCGCTCATAATTGTTTGTCAATCTCCTGAGATTTTGCTGCAAACACACATTGATGGAATCACAAGCAAAATTTTATCATAACTTAAAAGCAAAGATGATAATCAAATTACCTCTATTATCACAAAATGAGAGAAAATGGATACGAGTAATGGAAAAGTTTCTTTATCTATTACTAATTTTGTTTTAAGGAAAGGCCATGTTCTATACAATCCATTGTATTCCAAATCCATGAAAAAAGACTCTACAGTTTCACTTAGATTTTTAAATGAGCAACTTAGTAATAAAAATAACTTTGATAGAACCCATATCCATATTCACGAAAAAATTGTTTCGTTGGGTCCTCCTTTCTTATCAATCAATTGTTTTTCGTCCTTAAATTGATTTTGACAAAACCTTTTTTCCTTTGTAAAATAGTGCAACTTATTGGCTTTACTTCAGAGTTAAGAATGGTATGCCATCAATAATTCATGAAAAATCTGGCCTTTTAATTGTACCATTAACTCTTCGATTCAATCCCAACTCGTAATTCTTGTATGGATTGCTAAATAATGGTTTGGTAACAGGATCCAGATAATAATAACGACGCTCATCTTCTGAAATTTTGTTTTTTGTGACAAGGGCTCAGTTCATTCTTGCTAGAACATATTAAAAAAAAAAAAGATTTAATTTTCCCAATAAACTTTGTCTATTTTTGATCATCAACTTTACATATTATTAAAAACGCGAGTAGCAAACTTTGCTAAGCTCAATATCATTTTTTCTGAAAATTACATTCAAACCCTAACGCATGAAGCTTTGTTACATCAAGCAATGATGAAGATGATAAAACAGGTTTGGTAATCCTGAATGGATTTGGATCAACAAATTGCTTTCATTCTTCACATGTGAATATTTTATATGGACATGGCCAAGTCATAACAATGATTGATGATAGAGCCCTAAAATTGTAATAAACCTTTTTATACATATTTCTGAACACAATAAAATTAATAGGAATACAAATGTATTTCCTCACAATACATCAAATGATGTGATCAATGATATAATCAACAATATAAAAATAAGATAAAAAAATATAGATGTATCATTTGCGATTAGACAGGAAAGTTCTCTAAATTATTGAGTGATACAATCAATAATATAACTGATGAGATAAAAATATTTATTCATGATAAATGAATGATACAATCGATGATTCAACTGCTGAGATTAAAATATTAATGCATTATTCGTGATAAATTATCAAATGATTATAATTGATGGAGATAATAAAATATAAATGTAGTTTACAAGCGAGAATGCTCTTTTCTTTTAAATTATCAAATGAAATAATAAACGATACAATTGATGACATAAACATGAATAATAAAGATTGTTTTTTTTATATCAGATATTTTATTACAAGCTAATTAATGAAATATCACCTGAGACCAATTTATCGTGATTCACTTAATCATACTTGGGCTGTGATTGGCCGATGCAATTATCGCGACTTTATATAGATTGACCGACTTATCAAAATTTTTTAAATAGTAAAAAAAAAGGGCGAAAAAATTTGGCCAAGTCAGTCCAAAACTGATCAAGTTTACATACGTATATATAGCGACGTAAAAAAATTCAATAAGATGAAATTTTCTCAGTAACCAATGGCCAGTTCTAACATTTCTACTGTTTACAAGGGTAATAAGTTATTTAGAGATATAAGCGTTGATTTCCAGAGAGTGGTGAGGTGAGATATTTATTTCACCAAGTGATTGTTTAATTGTTATGTATCTGAGGTTACACTGCCACTAAGGATAATATGATAGGCGGAGAACTTGAAACGCATCGTAGCCACAGGGGATGTTACTAGGGCCAAGTAATAATTGTATGTGAACGTTCTTCCTGTTTTATCCAAAGTGGTGAATAGGATGGATGGATCAATAACTGTGTAGCCCCAGCATTACATTTACAATGGTGATGACATTTACTTATAAAATTTTTTTTTATTATATAATCAATCTAGAGGAGATAGCGGTATAGATATATTTGGCAATTATAATCATTATCTGCTCTTGATTCAATGCAAAGATTTCACTAACAAAATTGATGTCGATTATATTCGTGCTTTCGAAAGTATCGTAGCAAGATTTGATAAAGATAATACTATTAGAGTTTATGTGATATTGGCAAAGGACGGTTATGCAAAGGGCTCTGTAGAAAGAGTCAATTCACCAGAACGTTATTTGTTGTTCACAAACATATGGAATTTGGATCGGGACATCTCCGAGTACTTATCTAAAATATCAAAAGATAATTCTGTAGAAGGAAAACTTCACAAAATAGAAAAGGGGATAAATGAAATTATCGAGATGCTCGAAAGTCAAGAGAAGTTAATACACAAGATAAGAAATGATCAAATTATACTTGCCGCCCAAACTCAAAAGGTCAAGTTCCAAATCCTCAAATCCTTGAATTTCATGACACATTTAGGTATATACGAATTTGGAATGTGTCGTATAAATTACCAAATTCGTACTAGTTTTATAGTATTTTCACCTAAATAGTTTTTACCTATTTGGATTTGGGATTGGACTATTTTATACTTTGGACGGCAAATCAAATTAGAAAATAAATTAAACTAGAAAGTCAGATTATAATTTTTTAGTTTTATTAATTTCACATTAATAATGTTTTTGAATCATGTAAATCTTTTTTAAAGGATTTATAACTCTTGAATTCGACAAATTCGAATGATCATTGCTTTAATTTCTTGTAATAATCACAAATTATTGCTGGTAAATTTAATAAATTGATAACTTGCGAAATACTGAATTATCTAATTTTATTTATCATGGGTAAAATTCCGACCCATTTGGGGATAATTTATAAAGAATCCATAGAATGGACATGCTCTGCATGATCTACTATATTATGATTATTGATATGTATTTAAATTAAAAGTAATTGTAAACCTGCATAATGACCAAAAAATTATGACCTTATTTTATTGATATATATAAAAACCATTGCTGAAACAACATACAAATATAAAGCATGTCTCACTGTTGGGGAGTTGGATATTTATTCGTATAATAATATGAATTTTATCATGATCAAGCTATTTAGGAAAATGATTAAAAATAAATTGATTTGGAAACATATAATCTCCTCCATTCCCATTTTTTTACGCTGTAGTTTGATCACAGATATTTGTAATTACATTTGTATCAATCTTACAAAGAACAAATTTGTGAGGGAAAGTATTTTCAAACCAAGATGGCCACTGTTCCTTAACAATAGGTCTGAACTTGTCGACTTGCTTATTAGTGAAATCTTGAGAACAATAACGTTATATTGTAAAAGAATATCGAGCGATCCATTAGGAATGAGAAGGCAATTGAGACTAATATTATTAACAATTTGTTTTTCCTAAATACATAGAACAACAGTGAGCGGAATTTCGTTTTCTAGTGTAAAAAGGTACTCTGTAACATTTACGTAGATATAATACATACCTTTAAAAAAAATTGATATGATTAAAAATGATATCTCACGAATCCGGTTTATTTATATGTTTTTTTTTCGCTTGACCTGGAACCTGCTAGAAGAAAAAAAATACATGATTAATAATTACGTTATCCTGACCATTTTCTCAGATCTCTGTCCCATAAAGCAATTCTATTAGAATCACAAGCGCCGAGAGGGAAGTATATTTAGTCATTTATGGGGAAAATTAGCCCTTTTGTCTGACAATTGTTCTTGAAAAATGTAAAATAAGCCAAATCTAAACGATCTCAGAGATGGCGAAAATTTCAACTTCCATAACATATGAAATTTGATATTGTTACTGATAAAGAACAATAAACTCTCTTCCTTCATGACTTTTTTGAGTCTCATTCATAGTTGTTCTTATCGGAAAAACCATATACAATAAGAAAAGACTTTATTAATACGGTGCATCGTGCATATTATCGTCTCACGCTCTAATATGATAAGACAAACATATGAATAATTAAATCAGTAACAAATACAACATGAACGTTATGTATGGTAAACAAGTACACCAAAACCTTGAAGGCACAAGAGTTGATTTTCTGTTGCCTTACATTTTAAGTGGTGTTGACGTTGATAAAAGATTGATATCTGCATTACTATAAAGATAATTGATTCCATGAGTTTTACTGTGTAAAGTCTTCGAGATATGAATATCTAAAAATTACAAACCCTTGAATAATTTCTCAATGTCTTCACAATATCTACATTCACCAGATTCTTTACCATTTTTAAAATCCAACTTCCATTTCAGTCGCGTTCATGTAAATCTTTAGAATACCATAATATTTTGACCCAAGACCAGCCAGAAGCTTTTGACCTTTTGTTTGGTTTCAGTGTTGCTCACGGAACGTGCTTTCTATCTCTCTACTAAGCAAATATTATATTTGATAAATCAAGGGTTCATTATGTTGGGAATAAACTACATACGATCTTATAATAACATGCATTTGGAACCTAATTTTATTATTCATATCGTCAAATGCCTTTGGAATTAAAAGATTTATGAGTGAGTCTCTGTAAACTATCTCCTGTGTATTCGCATCACGAAGTATATTGAAGGGTGATGTAAACAAAAATATGCTAGAGTGAAATATGGGAATTAGTGGAATGTGTTGAATAATATTAAGCAATAATGTGTATGGTATATACCTACAATTTGCCGATAGATATCCTGTACCCATAATATGTCATAATGTTTTTTGAAATTAAACTTGCCCTCAAATGGTATTTCAAAAATAATTTTGTTGATTGTGGCTGATCATCGTCATCAAAACCGATTTCGGCTTCACCTTAACTGCAAAAGTATACTTGTCGATTAAAGGTCTGATACTCTTAACCGGCATATTGTATTCTGTTTCTCTTCAGCTGATGGTTCAATCAAAAAGAACATGTAAGGTTATTAATCTAAAGCTGATAGGATAGCTAACATGAAATATATACTTTTTCTCTCCTTCTTTTTTATCATCATTTAAGAAGACTTTGTTTACTGGATCAGTGAGATTCTTTCCGGATAGGTTGACAATACAATAATCAAAAAGATGATGGTTCACATTTCTAATCTTTACGATGAAGTGTTGAATCTCGGTTGATTCATTCTCGTTCTCATCATGATCATCAAAAAAATCGACATCCTCGTTATTAAATTGAACTTGTGCAGGTTGAAAAACATCATGCGGACGTGGAGAAGAAGTACAGGTTGGGAGGAGTGGTGACGATGCGAGAGATTTCCTCGGCTGGTTGTTTCCTTTCATTCTTTCATAAATTCGCATGTTTGTTAGCATAGAAAATTTTAATAAGTACTTGTAGAAGAATCAGATGCAAGAACAAAAGGCGCAAAAACGAACATTGATGAACATCCACATACCAATTTATCATCAGAAACTGAACTTTCATTTCTTAGCTTTCAGCGTTCTGCTGACTTCGTTGAAGGCGGTCTTTATCAAATCTTTGGTGTTGTGCATTACTGTTCAAATCGTTTTTATCTAATCAGAATATGCACTCAATACAGGTCTGAATTGGAATAGAATTCCAAGAAATGGTAATGTAATGAGCATTATCTAGCTGCAAACTTGAATTGGCAGAAGACGAATGAATCTATGTCATTCCAAAATGTCCGGATATCATGGTACTTTTCGCGGTGATTCTTATATTAGTTGAAGCAAGTATAATAATTAGAACAGTAATAAACAAATAAAACTGGCGATAGCTTAGGGCTGACTACAAGGGATCACGACGGACACACAATGGAAACGCAGACCATAAAATGGACAAAACGCAGATGTCCACCGTAATTGTGTGTCCTGTGATACATGACGAAAACGCAGACCTTCAGAGATCAAAACGCAGGTGACCCTCCTAGTCGCATAACCACGCCTGAAACAAAAGGGAAGTCAATTTTATAATTTTCCAGCAACTGTCCTGCAGACGTCCTGACTTCCTCTGAAAAATCCTTGATTAGCTCCTCAAGATCGCATATAAGTTTACGTGACTCTTTTTGGTATGAGATGGTGAGGTCAGGTTGCTGCTGACGATACTGATAAAAAATCTAAAAAACTATAATCTATCGCTGGTGTTTCACGAAAGTAAGAATTTGTTTTGAACTCTCTGTTTCCGACACGATTATGATAAGTATATTACGAGGTGCAGCTGGTTATTAATATATTCTAAGACATTTGATCTTGATCATATTCATATTTCCATGTTATTGTACAATTTTTTTTTCACTTGAAAAAATTTTTGAAATTCTTAAAATGTCGTACAACATACAGACAGATTATCTGATCGATTACAGGATCAAATTTCTAATATATCCTTCTGATTTTCACCAAGAAGTTACGGTCAAGGAATTTACTGGAGGCAAGTATACGCTTATTTACTTGAAGAGAGTTACGGAATGACTAGGTTATGGGGAAAAATGAGAGTCTCTTATCCCATGCATCGAAAAATTGAGCGAGTTTTGAGGTTTACGGTAATATGATTATAACCAAAGAAGATGGGAAAATGAACAATGATAGTATCAAAAAAGTTGAACGCATTCCCAAAGAGAGGATATCGTTATGTAGTCGGATAATTACTTTTAATCAAATGAAAATCAGAACAAAACATAGCAGGAAAAATTATTAAAATTGTGACAACTATATCTTTATATGGAAAAAGAGCCGGCTAAACTAATACAATAAAAAGTATTGGAGTAGTAAATGTTTAAAGGGAGGAATCACGCCAGTCCCTAAACCTTGAATTGACGGTTCCATCTCACTACTCCATACTATCTATTTATGAACTAATCTGGTCTACAGTATCTGATTTACAACACTTACTATTATAAAAGTTTTTATTGTTGACTCCCAATAATTCCTCCAAGTTCACTGCTACGAAATAACTCCTTCGTCAAAAGTATAATCGATGAGAAGATTCCCAGCGCGTCCGTAGTGAAGTCAAGTTCCATAGTGAGGCGGGGTGTTAAGTTTAGCAAGTCCTTCGGTAAATTGTTGCCTGATGATATTTAATATTAAGACATTAGCATGTAAATCCTTCATTATATTAAAACGTTTTTTTTGATGGTATAAGTCCGAAACATTAATTTTGATGCATCTATGAAGGAAAAAAATAAAATTAACGTATGCGGAAACAAACATATGTGTAATTATAAGTCAAAAAGAAAAGTGATAAATAAGTGTCATTATATTTTCACTATATTTTATTAAAAATATGAAATTATAATTATTTAATATTACACTAAATTAAAAATCATTAATTTTTCTTTAATAATTTATACACTTCATATTCTTCTAATAAAATACTAATATATGAATTATTTCCAAGATTTAAATTATTTTTATAATTGGAAACTGAATAAAAACAATAAGGTTCATTATTAATACTGTTACATAATATCAAATCACCAAAATTTATACATGCTTCATAAAATATTATATTATCTACGGTAACATTAATAATTTGTTTATCATGGAATATTGCCTTTTCAGGATTTTTGACCTTACTTAATATTGAATTACCAAGTTGATTTTCATTAATCTTAAAAATAAAACTTTTGTTTGTTTCAATCTGATATCTTTCATTTGGAGATTTTCCTTTTATATTCCAAAAAACAGGATTATAACCACCCACTAATTCACCTGTTTCTTTAAATTTCATCAACACTACAGTTTGTTCAATGTTGTAACATTTCTCCTCAAAAATTGCCCTTGAAAAGCCATCTTGAGATCCACAAAGGACTAATTCAAAATCATATGATACATTATTTTGATCAATCCAACCAGAAATTAAAGAATTTAATTCTAAATTTAATAATTTTCCTTTTTTAATTCTTGCTCTTGAACCTTTTTGAAGAAGAAACTTTGGTTGCCATGTATCATGACTAAGATAATATTGAAGAAGTTCTTTATATACCTCTTTATCAAAAATTTTTTTAAATGGTGTAATTTTCTGAAAGAAATCACTTGAAGAAATTTCATGGAATCTTATTAATGGAATAATGTCTTCTAATATATTTTTCAATTTTTTGAAATCATCTTTACTCCACACTGAAATATTTTTTTCCAATGTTTCATTTTGTTTTACACCCCATTGAATGACATGATTCCAAATATCAATTTCATTTAATTTTAAATTATCACTTTTCAATATAGAAATTAGCATTGACTTTTCAATTGTTGCAACATCGTTAGATTTTAAAATTGATCCTGGATTTTCACAAATTAATTTATTACAGAAATCTTGAAGTAAGTTGAACAGTTGATGTTTTGATGAAATTTCATGAACATAAATTAAATTTTGGCAAAGCCATTCATTTTTTTCATTGATTAAATAATTTTGCAAATCATCAATTAATTCATTAAAGTTTAATTCATCACATGCTTCAAGAAGGTTTAAAATTTCATTTAAACTCAGATTATCAATATTAATGACTCCATTGTACATATATCTTTTAAAAATATAAAAATATAAATTTATTTTAGATAAATATTAAAAAATCAATTATTAATTAAATAGTTTATATTAACTTACATTAAAAGAATTTCAAAAACTCTTGGATAAATATTTTCTTTTTCAAATAAAATATTACCATTATCAGATTTTTTAATCCAATCATCAGATAAAGCTGTTTTAAAATACAAAGACCTTGCTTTTAAAATGATAGAATGAGCTTTAAAAATTTTAATATCCTCATCCTCTCCAACTTTGATTTCAACATCATAATAATCTGAATTATTCAACAAATTTGAAAAATCATTTACTAGCTTATTAAAATATTTTAATGGCAGAGAATTAATAATGTTAAGGTTGTTAAATAAGAGTGTAATATTTTCCAAGGATGAGAAACTGTTATTAGATATTTTGATGAAATTTTTTTATTTTCTAACAAATTAAAATTTACCATTTTATTTTATTTTGAATAATTGTTACACGAAGTTTAGTACCAGGGTTAATTAATACAGGGCAGTATAACTTTAGAATTGGAAAAAGATTATGATTAAAAAAGTCCATGATCAACTGATTCCAAAGATGGAATAAATTATAGTTAAAAAAACATCAGAATAAAAATTTCAATATAATATAATATGTAAATTAATTTTTCTTTACTAATTTATATACTTCAAATTCTTCTAATAGATGAACATTCTTATGATTATTTATAAGATTTAAGTTATTTTTATAATGGTAAAACTGGTAAAAGCAATAAGGTTCATTATTAATGCTGTTACATACTCCCAAATCATTAAAATGTATAGATACTTCATCTTGTCTACTATAATATATTGCCTGTTCAGGATTTTTGGCCCTACTTAATATTGAATTATCAAGTTGATTTTCATTAATTTTAAAAATAAAACTTTTGTTTGTTTCAATCCAATATCTTTCATTTGGAGATTTTCCTTTTATATTCCAACCAACAGGATTATAACCACCCACTAATTCACCTGTTTCTTTAAATTTCATCAACACTACAGTTTGTTCAATATTGTAACACTTCTCCTGAAAAACTGCCCTTGAAAAGCCATCTTGAGATCCACAAAGGACTAATTCAAAATCATGTGATGCATTATTTTGATCAATCCAACCATAAATTAAAGATTTTAATTCTAAATTTAATAATTTTCCATTTTTAATTCTTGCTCTTGGACCTTTTTGAAGGAGTAATCTTGGTTGCCATGTATCACAACTATGATAATAATGAAGTTCTTCATATACCTCTTTATCAAAAAATTTTTTAAATGGTATAATTTTCTGAAAGAAATTACTTGAAGAAATTTCATGGAATCTTATCAATGGAATAATATCTTCTAATATATTTTTCAATTTTTTGAAATCATCTTTACTCCACACTGAAATATTTTTTCCCAATGTTTCATTTTGTCCTACACCCCATTGAATGACATGATTCCAAATATCAATCTCATCTAATTTTAAATTATCACTATTCAATATAGAAATTAGCATTGATTTTTCAATTGTTGCAACATCATTAGATTTTAAAATTGATCCTGGATTTTTACAAATTAATTTATTACAGAAATCTTGAAGTAAGTTGAACAGTTGATGTTTTGATGAAATTTCATGAGCATAAATTAAATTTTGGCAAAGCCATTCATTTTTTTCATTTATTAAATAATTTTGCAAATCATCAATTAATTCATTAAAGTTTAATTCATCACATGCTTCAAGAAGGTTTAAAATTTTATTTACACTCAGGTTATCAATATTAATGATTCCATTATACATATATCTTTTAAAAATATAAAATATAAATTTATTTTAGATAAATATTAAAGAATTCAATTATTAATTAAATAGTTTATGTTAACTTACGTTAAAAGAATTTCAAAAACTCTTGGATAAATATTTTCTTTTTCAAATAAAATATTACCATTATCAGATTTTTTAATCCAATCATCAGATAAAGCTGTTTTAAAATACAAAGACCTTGCTTTTAAAATGATAGAATGAGCTTTAAAAATTTTAATATCCTCATCCTCTCCAACTTTGATTTCAACATCATAAT